AACTCATGATTGTTGATGAATTCTTTTGCTACCATAAATGGAATTTTTTGAATTCTATAGCAAAGCAGTAATGTGATAATCTCTTCTCTGAATTTCTTGCATAAGCTAACCAAGAATTTGATGGCAATAGCTCAGTTCAGGCGTAGAGTGTTCAAGGATGCATTGCAAAGTATTATGAGCTGTGCATTCTGGAGTGCTGAATTTTAGTTGCTGAACAGGAAACAATCTTTGTAGATTGAATTGAAGTGAACAACAAAGGGAGTTCCTGTCTAGGAATCACTGTAGCAGAAAAGAACTCAGCTCTCATAAGCCCTAAGTAGTAAATTTTTTACTAAGAATTTTATTTTTCATTAGTGCTTTATACTGTTTTTCATTATTTCTGTGAATGTATGGCTGGAATTGAGCCCTTTTGAATTTCAAATTTTGGCACAATCAGTTGGCATTTGGCAAGATGAGATCCATGCTCTGTCCCTTATGAACTCCAAGTGGAAAGTTTCTTTTTCGCTATCTCCACTTTCTATCCTTGTCTATACTTTGACCTTTTAAATTAATATTATTCATCTACAATAGTTATATAATATGATTTTCAGGTTCTTAAGCTAAAAGTTTCGTGCAAGATAAAGTTTCCGATAATAATTTGTATCATTTTCAAGTTTGCTAGGAGTTGCAAATTTTTTATGTCATGAAATGATGCAAAGAGGTGAACAACTTTTCTCTCCAAGAATGTTGTTATGAAATGCTTTTATTGGCAGCTATCAGAATTTTAGTGACATTCATGGACATTCCTTAACTAATTATTTAGCTGTTTTGGAGGTGTAGGTTCATTTGCAAATTTATGTGATTGTGCTTCTGCAAAGTTGAAGTCCAGCTGAGCACCGTCTAATGATCTTAAATTTAATTGGGAGATTCTAATGGTGAAGCCAACAGGAAAATGATGGTGGTTTTAGATTTGTCGGGTGAAGATAAATATGTAGATGCTATCAATTTAGCATCACCCTATTCCGTCAAGTAGTTTTCATCCCAAAAGTAGTCAGCAAAAACAGGAACAGTAAACAGCAAACAGCCCTCTCCAGCTAAGAAAATCAGCTTTCTGAAACTGGTATGAATAAATGACCCATATTACAACAAAGAAAGATTAGTAACTCAACTTCAACATGCATTAATTTTTTGCTCCTTATGGGCCAGTATACATGGCTGAAGGCTTTGCAATTCTAGATTGCAAGCAAGCTAGAGCCTAATGCGCACTCCTTACAGTTTCATCTTTCAATGCAGGCCCCTTGCAGCCAGGAAGTCTCTTACGGTAGGAAGTGCTGCTCCTAATCTAGGAAGCAAAGTAGTAGACTAGAAGAAGGCAGGGAAAGCAATGGTTTCCAAGCAAAGCAATATCACATCATTCTTCAAGACAGTTAGTTTGGGCAGAATGAAGTTCCTACTATGTCAAAACTAGAGGTTGCAGCCTAATTCATACCCACCACCAAGGTAAGTTGCTTTTGGTTTCATATGATTTCATCAAGGCATTTGAAATGTCTTTTTTGTGTCTTAGTTTTGATCCGCTAATGCTTTTATACATCTTGAGGAGCAAAGGACTGATGTTTATGGGAGATTCAGTGTAGAGAACCAGTTTGAGGAAATGGCTTGTTTGGTACAATGCATGATTCCTGAGGAGAAAAAAATTCTTTCATAGAATTCCTCTTTTGAAGATCTTCAAAGCTGAGGTACCTTCAACTTTTCTACCTATCATGCTTTCCTATGTTACACAAATTCTTCACTTTATCCTAATAAATCTACTTTTAATATGTGTTAAATGGTTTGAATGCTTAAATTTAACGAATAACATGGTAAACATTTAAAGTATCTGTGTTAGACACTTGATCCCAGTATTTCGAGCTTTTGGAATTTGTTTTAGGAATATAATGCATCAACTGAGTACTACTGGGAGCCCATCATACTAGAGTCTAATTCAAACCATGCAACAAATCACTGTTCGGAGACAGTTGGTGAACCTTGATGCCGTAGCCAAATTATGGCAAGAACTAGGAAGGAGTTAATGTGAGGTTTGAGAGCTATATCAGTCTAAGATTGATGCTAATATGTAAGTATTCAGTTTTCCATCAAAGGCTTTTTGTTCCATTCAAATTCTTCTAGTTTTTTCCTTTTTTTTTTAGCAAAAATTCTTCTGGATTTTGTGTTGCAAGCTCCAGTTTTTAATTTGAGCATACATTCTGAAATCCAATAGATTGCCCTTTCTTCCTTCCTGGGTTTCGGGTTTTTTGTTTTCAGCTATGGAACCCCAGGGCCTGTTCAAGAATACATTGAGACAACTGCTTTTGGATTGGCACTGGAAACTTGGCAAATTGGTTAAAATCCAACATCAATCCTCCAATTCAGAGGGTCTTCTTCTTGACCATGTCCCCAACACATCTGTGGTATGTTTCACTTGCCCTTTTTTTATTAAGACACAAACATTCCATATCCCAAAATTAAGAAGATGATGGTTATAACTGCATCTTTCAGGAGCTGGGAATGGAAGCCAGACGGTCACAAGAACTGTTTTGATGAGACATCTCCAATTCAAGAAGCATCATACTGGGGAGCTGGATCTGGTCTGGCCATTATGAAATAGTTCATGGTATTTTACAGTAACTAAACATCAATGTTCTGGATTAGAATATAAAATGGATCTTTGAGTACATTGTTGAATATAGAAGCATTGGGGAGGAAGGACACAAGATTAGAGATCGAGGAATGAATGTGCAACCTATGGTATCATGGCAACGTCCTGTGGAGATACCATTAAGGTCAAATACCGATACAGCAATACCACAGGGGCAAGGCAAAGCCAGGTTTGGAGTTGTCCTTAGGGAGTAGGAACTGTGACAGCAAAGTTATAGGAGTTGCGCAAAAGAACTTGTGGGTTTCAAGGATCAGTTCTTCAAGCTGAGGTTATGGCTCTTGATTTCGCATTGCGTACGGGCAGAGAATTTGGACACAGAAATGTCATCATTGAATCAGATTGTCTTAAAGCCGTACGAGTAGCTGTGCCCAACGATGATTGTTATCTTCCTTTTGGAGCAATAGCGGAGGAAATTCGAGCTAAGAAATTCCATTTGCTTTGTGTGTTTCCAGCATGTAAAGCGTGAGTGTAACTTGCTAGCCCATGGGTTGGGTTAGCTACATTCCCTTCACCTTGGGAGGGTGTTTGCTAATAAGGAATGTAGAATCAAGATATTTGATACAATCATATAAAAAAATGAGTAATTTTCCTCCTATTGTCTTCGGTACGAGGAAATTGATCTGTTTGGCAGTGCTAACCATACAAGAGAAGTACAAACCAAAAATGCCATGAACAAGTTGCAATGTTTTTACCACTTATGAAAGGGTCCTTTCAGTGGACTTGTCACTCACCATGGTAAAGAAGATTTTGCCGGCAAAAGCAAGAGCCCTGGAGATGAATCCAGCTACATTGAGCAGCAACCTCTTCCCCAATTACTTACAAAAGTTCCCATCCGGCATCACCTTCAAGTTCTGTTTGCAAAATTTCGCATCCCATGGTTGTGCAGTTGTAGATGGAAGAAGACTTTGCATAGATTCTTTGTTAAACTTAGACCCCATTTCAGCATCTCCAACCAAAATTGCTAGCTGCTCATACCCCTTGGCTAAACCCTTCTTTGCGGTGATTATGACAATTAATTTATTTATTAAGGTCACTAATATTATATTTAATTTAATTTAATTTTTTTAAATAGATAATTAT